TTTTGGCGTGGGTCACTCCCGAAGTTTGTTGCACCTCGTGTTTGTAATCGTGTCTGTGAATAAATATAAAAAAATACAAAAAAAGATCCCTTTGTTTCCTGTGTTCCCCTTTCCCATTCCCTGCTTGTCCCGTCTTCCCCTCTTCCTCTCCTCTACCTTTCTGGCGATCCCCAACCCTAGACTGGGGATCATAACACGGGCTGGTGGTCCCCCTCTTTAAGAAGGGGGACCAGAGGGTGTGCTCCAACTATAGGGGGATCACACTCCTCAGCCTCTCTGGTAAGGTCTATTCGGTGGTTCTGGAGAGGAGGGTCCACCGGATTGTTGAACCTCGGATTCAGGAGGAGCAGTGTGGTTTTCGTCCCGGCCGTGGAACAGTGGACCAGCTCTATACTCTCCACAGGGTTCTGGAGAGTTCATGGGAGTTTGCCCAACCAGTCTACATGTGTTTTGTGGACTTGGAGAAGGCATTCGACCGTGTCCCTGGGGAGTCCTGTCGGGGGTGCTCCGGTAGTATGGGGTGCCGGGCTTCCTTTTAAGGGTTGTTCGGTCCCTGTATGACCGGTGCCAGAGTCTGGTCCGCATGGGCGGCAATAAGTCCGGTGAGGGTTGGACTCCGTCAGGGCTGCCCTTTGTCACCGATTCTGGTCATAGTTTTTATGGACAGAATTTCTAGGCGCAGCCAGGGCGTTGAGGGTGTCTGGTTTGGTGACCTCAGGATTAGGTCTCTGCTTTTTGCAGATGATGTGGTTCTGTTGGCCTCATCAGACCGTGACCTTCAGCTCTCACTGGGACAATTCGCAGCTGAGTGTGAAGCGGCTGGGATGAGAATCAGCACCTCCAAATCCGAGACCATGGTTCTCAGCCGGAAAAGGGTAGAATGCTCTCTCCGGGTCAGGGATGGGGTCCTCCCCCAAGTGGAGTAGTTCACGAGTGGGGGGACGATGGAACGGGAGATCGACAGGCGGATCGGTGCGGCGTCAGCAGTGATGTGGGCGCTGCATCGGTCTGTCGTGGTGAAGAAGGAGCTGAGCCAAAAGGCAAAGCTCTCGATTTACCAGTCGATCTACGTTCCTACCCTCACCTATGGTCACGAGCTGTGGATAGTGACCGAAAGAACGAGATCGCGAGTGCAAGTGGCCAAAATGAGTTTCCTTCACAAGGTGGCTGGGATCTCCCTAAGAGATAGGGTAAGGAGCTCTGTCATTCGGGAGGGACTCAGAGTAGAGCTGCTGCTCCTCCGCATTGAAAAGAGCCAGATGAGGTGGCTCGGGCATCTGCTTAGGATGCCTCCTGGACGCCTCCCTGGTGAGGTGTTCTGGGCATGTCCCACTGGGAGGACGCCCCAGGAAGACCCAGGACACGCTGGAGGGAATATGTCTCTCGGCTGGCCTGGGAACGCCTCGGGATTCCCCCAGAGGAGCTGGATTAAGTGGCCGGGGAGAGGGAAGTCTGGGTTTCCCTGCTGAGACTGCTGCCCCTGTGACCCGACCTCGGATAAGCGGGAGATAATGGATGGACGGATGGATGGAAAATGAAATTGCCTGAACGTATATGAACGAATATATGCAGATATGTCAAATATTGCTTGTCAATGGACTTTTGTTATGGAACCAATAAATTTTCAACATGTTTACAGAATTAAGCAGCGTCCCAAGACTTCCTGCCAGCGCTGTACAATCTACTGCTGTTTTCTCTGTGTCCAAGGTGCCAGCAAAGACCACTGTCCTCAACACTGGCCATCAGACCTAGAGCCCAGCACTCCCTACAGCTACATCCTTGTACTCCGGAATGCTCACCTCCTGAAGGAGACCTCATCATGCTCGGGCTGGGCCATGGTGGGGTGCAGCACACACTTCCCACTGTCGATCTCCACGCGGATGTCCAGCTCAAAGTCAATGTTCCTTTCCGTGGCGGAGCTCATCACGCTCCGGTTGGTGGGCGTTCCTGGCCAGCGCTCGCTGAACAGCTGGCTCACCGCCGCAAAGCCGGACGACTTTTTACGGGACGGCTGTCTGCGGAGTGCAGTCACATAATCAGCTCCGCTTGGGTCACTGCATTGCATCGTCCAGTTGATAAACCGATCATTCACAGTGAATAAATATATAGGCGACACTTTAACTAACAATCATATTACTAATCTTGGTCTTATAAGCCCATTAGCCACTTTCTTTGTAGACGTACAGTATTTACTTACGTTTACGTATCATTACATACCTTTTATAAAATGTGGCCAAGTCATATAACTAAAGCAAAGCCATTTAATGCTACAAAATAGCACTAAAGGGCTTGACAAAATAAAATCATAGATGACGGACTGACAGGAAGTAAAACTGATCATTACTATCACATCCAGGGATTGCGGGCGAAGTACACAATCGCCTCATAAAGTGAAATGCGTGCCAATTTTTTGTGGTAGCATTATTTTACGTGCATTTCATACCACAAGTGAAGTATGCAGTAGGCGTAAAAAAGCTGAAATGCAAGGTAATTCCGTGTCATAACAGCGCAAGTGTATGGAAACTTAAGAATTTATTTTACTTCCCATAACAAGAAATTGCTGCACATACTTGCATACCAGTTATGGGCATCTCCGAATAAATCAAAAGCACATTAGGGTGACCAAGGCGTCGCTCCCAATTATGGCCCTAATTATGGGATGGAGTACTCACAAGGGCCTCCTGTAGAAGCAGGTCTGTTTCTCTCTGTCGAGCTCCTCGTCCTTGTCGGAGTCGGTGGAGGAGGAAGAGGGGCTGTCATCATGCCTGTTATCCTCGGGCTGGAATGGAAGGCTGGGTGAGAAGACAGCGGGGGTGCCTGGGGCGCTGAACACGGAATGCGTCTCGTCGCTAATGGGCGAAAAATGAGGATGGGGGGGCTCGTCGATGGCGACTGACAACAGGTCCATTTCGGACTCCTCTGGAAACTTAGGGGTGGCATGAAAAAGATGCGAAAGGCAGAGTTATGAAGTGGTCGATGGGCAATGAGTCTCTCTCAAGCAGATATCAGCCATCTTTGGGATGCCAGCTCCATATCATCTCAATGGATGCTTCACTTAAAGTTGTGTCCACAACTGTTTGCCAATTCACGCATACATGTATGTAAAACATACAGCACACCATTAAAGATGACCACGTATAGTACATTGTCCATGATGACAACGTTCATAACTACAGTGAACCATGGAACTCTTCCTCTGCGTTTGGGAGAAACTCACCCACACATATACAAACATAAACAAATATATGCACCAGCCTGGCAACGTTTGGATGATATCTGCTATGAGAAGCTGAATAATGAACAAATGGAATTAATCATTAATCATTCTTTCCCTTTCCCAAGCAGCTGAGCCCACAAGCGCGTGTCAGTGGATTGTACTTCTGAGTATGAGCACGGTCATGATGTTTTGGAGGAGATCGGGCCCCGTCACCGTCCACTCTTCAGACACCCCCGAGACATACAGTGCATGCGGAAAGTCCACCCAAGCTTTGATGGCATTTATAGTGTGTTTCAGTGTTAGATTATGCCATGTTAACCTTCATTGACATATAGTAACCACCAACATTTATTTGAAGCCACTGAGAAAATGGATTTTTAAAATGCAAAGAAAAAGTACATTCCCAGTCAAAAGTTTTTGCACAACACTGGTTTTTACCACTTTTCCATTTATTTCATAAACTGCAGAGCTTTTTTATTATTGTTTAGGCATTGGAAAGTTCAGTGAACAACTACAAATGAAAATCTAAGCCAAATAAATCAAGCTTCCTTTATGGAAACATGGAAAGAGTCTGACACCCTAATAATTGACTGTGTGGTGATGAGTCAAGTTCTATGCTGCCCTTTAACTTTAAATGAGCTAGTTATCTGTTACAGCCCCTGAAACAGAGGAGCATTTAACATCCCTTGTAGAAAAAATGCCTTGGATTTTCTCTGCTGTTATAACTGCTAGAGGAGGTTACTTTGATGAATCAACAACATAACATTTTCTTGCTAATAAAGGTACTCAAATGGTGAACATATATATTTATTTGTTAGCAAAGAATATTGAGTATATATAAATATATATATTTTTGGTAAATGTTAAGTGAGTAACATGCAAATGTAGAAAATCTGTGTGTGCAATAACTTTTGACTGGTAGTGTATAAACCAGTGGCCTCAAACTCCAGTCCTGGGGGGCAGGAGCCCTCCACATTTTTGGGTTTCCCCTCATGTGACACACCTGATCAAACTCCTTGTGCTAATTACCACACAGCTCTTGAGCTGAATCATTTATGGTGGAACAGGGAAAGAACTAAGCTACACAGGGCTCCGGCCCCCCAAGACTGGAGTTGACACCCCTTGTATAAACTTTCACAAAAATATCTATTGTCAAGCTCAGGTTTGGTCAACTACCTTCCAGATGACCGAAGTGGGTAATTACCCTCCACTTTTGGTCGACTGTAAAGCTAGAATGTGGGCTGCTTTACTTCATTTCAACGGAGAGGTTCCAGAATAGAGTGATTAACTTAAAACTTCAAGATCTCCAGAATAAAGTTGTGGAAAGGAACCATTCAGAAGATGAGTACAAGTATTAACAAAATCAAATGTGTTAAATACTCCTTCAAATATATCCAAGAACTATGGGATATATGGCCAAGAGCCTGGTGTGTAGACTTTCTGTATGCACTGTATATATGACACAGTGACAGTGAATGAACTCTCATTTAATACACATACATGTTAACCTGAGAGCATAAAGTTTAGACACATCTCTGCTGGATTTGCAGGTCTCTTGAAAACAAGCGAAGCACACAGTCTCTGCTTTTCAGCAGAAGAGTCATGCAAAATCAAAATATCAAGGCAATTTGTGATGGCACACTGGAGACATGCAGTTGTGCGAATTGTTTGGAATTATCTGGATTTGTGCATAGCTACTGAAATGGTAATTGATCTTCATCTATGTTATCATATAAAAAAGTCGTCTTATTTAACAAACTTGCATATTTTACAATGCCATATCTTTACCGAACAAATAGTTTAAACAATCAAGATAACTGATGGACAACGTATGTGAACCCATATATTCAGTAGGTAGAGCTACTTACTGAAAATAACCTCAATCAAATGCTTTCTGTAGCTGCAGACAGACCTGTGCAGTGGCTAGGAGGTCATTTACATAATTGAACCATATTTGAATGGACCTGAATTCTGTTGTGAAAAGCAAGTAACCAAAATGTTGTGTGTGTATGTGTTTTAATATGGCGAGGCAGTCAAAACTTACACCTGAATTAAATAGAACACCTGATTCCAATTACCGTATTTTAAATAGATTTAACCTATGAGATTCACATACTTTTTCCATCAACCATCTTGGTTGTTTGAACTATTTAATAAACATATGTCAACGTAAAATGCTGCATGTTGTTTGATGTCTTGCTAACAAAGATCAGATCAGGAGCCAATTCCAGTGGAAAGATGGATACAGTAACCTGGAAATATCCCCAACATTTTGGCTACAAAAGCCATTAAATTCTTCAATAGTGTCTCAGCATCTACATCTGATAGAGGCATGGATTACATTCTTATTACATGGACCCAAGCATGTAAATGTAGCAAATGCGACACAACACAGTGCCTTCACATTCTTCTACTTTGACTTTGCATTTTGAAAGTTGAGATGAAGCTGATTCCGGCTTGGCTCACCATGTTAGTCGGCTTACTTGCTTGCTAAAGGTTAATTTTCACTTGTGTGCCATTTTCAAAAATACCTTGAAAACCAGCTCTTCCGGGCTGACAGGCTGGTTTGGTGCATCCAAAACTAGATTATCAAGCTTTGTATAAAATAAAATGAAATTGGTACAATTAGGCTAAAACATGCAAATAAGTAGCTCAGCTGAGAGAGGCGTGATCAGGCAGACTGATGTGAATTTCTGGATTGGTAGAAGAGGCGATTAAATTTAAATTGAAATATATTTTTAAACTGCTGAGACAAACCAAATAAATCTAGGTCACCATAGTACTGTAATCAACTGGCAAGTTACTTGATCGTGTCAGACTGGATGATCATGCACAAAGTGCAGCATTTTTAGTGCAGCATTAGATGTGTTATGGTTATCTGGTATCAGTATTTCAATACTTTTCCACATGGGCAGTGTGTCACATAACAGGAAAAGTGCATGTCAAGCTTGAGAATAAACTACATTCATTCATCAGACGCAAAATCTAAGGCACGCTGCCAACTTCCTCTGGCATTCAGCAGGTCTGATCTGCCTATTGCTGGTATTACTTCTAAATATTTGCTGAAGGCTTTCATCCGCGATCTTACAGATCAAACATACAGAAACCCCATGTTAGATATAATTATACAATTACAGTCGTCCCTCGTTTATCGCGGTTAATCTGTTCCAGACTCTACCGCGAAGTAGGATTCTTTATTTCTTTATTATTCGGCTGCACCTGGCATTGAAGGATTTGGGGGGGGTGCTCGAATACATAGGCCTACAGTCCATACGTACAGTCATTTTAATTTTAATCTTAATTGTAATACAGAGGTGTATAATTGACTCAGACAACCGAGCGCGCGCTGTATCATTTTCACTGTCTATCAACTTTTTAATGAATAAATGTATTTGAAAAAACCGCGACAGAGCGAAGCCGCGAAAGTCGAAGGGCGAAATGGCGAGGGACAACTGTATATTGTTAACGTGTCTCAAGTTCTGCTCTTATTAAGCCAAATCCATAACCGTAATCTGAAACCAAACGCTACACTATTCAAAACATTTTTATCGAAACCATTAACATGATGCATCGCCAGTATGCTTTTTCTTTTTCCAGTCTAAGAAGGTCTATGACATGTTTCAGTCCGTGTTAAAATAGCAACTTAGAAATGAAACTGCTATTGTCTAGATGCCTTTCTCTTCTTCTCTCACCTGAGAACTTTCTAGAACACCCACAAATACCCTGGAATGGTTTGTTGATCTCACTGGTAATTTCTTGTTTCAGGTCTTAACTTAAGTTGCCAGTTAGTTTAAGTAAAGGATTACAGTGTTTGTTTTACCACTATGGATACAGGGAGTGAACAAAGGAGACCATGTGACCAAAGCCACACAACTTCGGACAGACAAATATTTCAAGACTCTCAGCTGCCGTATGGTACCGTGTCCTGAATGTTGAAGGTGACCCGTGGACCTGGAGACGAGGCATCCACCCGGATGTCTGGCAGGTCATCCACATCTCCTATTCGAGAGCTGAGGAACCAAAGGAGGGCAGGTTTAATGGCCTCTCCAGGCTGCTTCGTAATGGACACTCATAGTTGATAACAATGTCCCAGATTACCTCGCCCTTTCCATCTTCTTCAAAGGGGGCCTTCCAGTGGTGGAAATGCTCTTTGATCGGTTACTTGGCTTGTACCCCAGACCCCATTTGTCCTTCAAAGATGCAGCCTGTAGAACATCAGATTGGTGAGACAGATCTCTGCACAGTTTCTCTTATAATGGCCTCATATTTCGTGCTTTTACAAGCGAAAACCTGCTAATACAGTGGGTCGTGCACAAGTCATGCACAAGTCCCCTTATTTAGGAGAAAAATTCTCTCGCATCACACTAGATAACCAGCACTAACATAGCAGAATCAATTTGTACATCTGTGTTTCTTCCATTTACCAAATATTTGTTTTATACTTTTGAACCAAAAACCCCAAATCAAGACAATTTATTTTCAATTAGCAATTTGCAGAAAAGGACTGGATTTTCCGCTGAAGTAAGCAGGGCTGCACTGCATATCCTCCTGGCTCCACGGTGGCAAGTTAACCTTTAGCAGCGAGCTGGAAACACCCGCTGCGATGTCTGATCCCCTCAACGCCCACTGTCTCTCACCCTCATGCTGGACCTTCTCAGCTTCTTCCTCACGTCCCTCCTGATGTCGTTCACCGCCACTGACTCCAGCTGCTGGTAGCGCTGGATTTCCTGGTTAATGGTGCCCTCGCTTGCTCCCAGCTTCCTAAACGGGGGGGAAATAAACGGCAGACATGCTCGCGAGGTCCTTTCAGGACAAAAACATTTCTCACAGAGACTAAACTCAAGGCAGCTGTGGTCTCCACACTTACTTGAGGTCGTCGATGACCTTGGCCTGCTCATTGAGCTCCCTGATGTCCACGAGCCTCTTGGTCATCTTGCGTCCTCGTGCATCACCCATCTGGTTCCCCAGAGCGACCTGCCGCCTGTAATCGACGGGTTCCTGTATGGACAGTTATAACGACTGTGTATTTAGCAGTCAGAGCACAATGTTCCTGCGGCGTGGAGTTTCCATAATGGGATGCATGACCGGGTGTTACATGCTTATTAGCGTACTCAGGTGCCACAAACCCCTCAGAGAGTTCTTGCTATTTAGCCCCCCCTTGTATATGCCTACAGGTTTTTTCCCTCCCGCATTATTGTCTTCTGGCTGTTTAACATTAGCGACTTTTTAAATTCATCACATGATTTACATCTGTTTATAACCTGTCATTATTCGTAATATTTAGGCTAATTTTGATCAAACCTGCTATGGGTTGAACTGTAACTGTAACTGTAGGGTTTTCAAAGGTGGGGGCTATAATTCATACTTTGGGGCCAATGATATGGTTTGAATCAGTGAGAGACAGGAAAGTGGCACGCTGGCGGCCAATCAGCTCTCAGCTCTGGCCCCTGTACACGCCCATGCCGGAATACTGACCGTGTGAACAGGGGGGAACATGCCGTCCGCCTCGTCCTCATCCGACAGGTCGGCCATGTTGACAGAGCTGAGGTCGGCAATGTCGTCCACTTCCTCCTCGCCGGTCAGCGAGGTCAGCGTGTTCCCAAGGGCGTTGAGGCGTTTGCCGATGTTGGGGTCCATGTGGACGTCAATGCCGCACATCTTCCACAGGACGTTCAGTGTCCAGGTTCCTGCGCTGCTGCTCTCTGCAGGCCGACAGGCAGAATGGCATCATGCATGAAAGCAGACACACACACTCACCACAGACACGTCTAGTGTTCCTGTCTCAGGGACTTTCCACTGACTAAGCGTTTTATAAAAAAGACACTCCACAAGGTCTATTTTTAAAGGTTTACTATAATTTACAGACACACCTACACATGCATTCTCAGCACACAAATTAGCCTCCCACATAAATTATTCGTGGGAAACCAAGACGATGCACCCCCCACCCCCCCACGCAAACACCGCACTGCTCGGCACACCTGCTGATGCCTGGCCTGTAGTTCTGGAGCATACTTCATACGTGCCATCTGGAACCACACCTAGATAACACAAAAATCACAAATACCACCTGCATCTTTAACAGGAACGGGAATGAGGCACAGTCCAGAGCTAATGTAATCTGACAAATCACAGATTAAGCTCTGTAATCTGATAAATTATAGCTTCTCTGCTGTAATCTGATAAATCACGGATTAACCTCTGTAATCTGATAAATTTTAGCTTCTCTGCTGTAATCTGATAATTCACGGATTAACCTCTGTAATCTGATAAATTATAGCTTCACTGCTGTAATCTGATAAATCACAGATTAACCTCTGTAATATGATAAATTTTAGCTTCTCTGCTGTAATCTGATAATTCACAGTTTCACGTCTGTAATCTGATAATTCACAGTTTCACGTCTGTAATCTGATAATTCACAGTTTCACGTCGGTAATCTGATAAATCACAGATTCATGGCTGTAAACTGATAAATCATAGTTTCACTGCTGTAATCTGATCTACAGTCAAACTGTAGTGGAATTAATGATGAATTCCCTGATATACGGACACACCAGTGACGTTGGTTTGTCGTGATAACAGACATCGGAGAATTAGTCAGCAGATGAAGAGAACAGCGGAAATTTAAGAGAAGCAGCTCGACAACTTACACGCATTCATTACAAGGTCTCCCCTCACTTCGGGCTTCCAGTCGTCCCAGGACGTCTCAAAGCCCTCTGCGAAGCGGATGCAGAAGTTCTTGAAGTGGCCCTTGCTGACCAGCGATTCTGAGGAGCAGGCGGTGATGAGCGTGCTCTCGATGGTCAGCACCAAGGCTGAACCAGCGTCGAAGTCCACGCTGTGATTGGCCTGGAGAGATGGGCGGTGCACACAAAACAGCAGCCAGCCAATGGTGTCAGACGCCATTTTACTAATAATAAATGCTTGTAAAAGCACACAAAAATATTATTTTATTATTAAAATAATTAATTATCATAATATAAGTTAGTAGTTAAAAGTTATATTTAGCTTCGGCTAAATTTTTTAAAGGTTTATTAGTTTATCGTTATCAAATTAAGCTTTGGAGTTTGCGGATTAGCGGTTATCGAATGGTTAGTAAAATTCAACATTTATTGTACTTGTTTGCTGTTTTAGTCTTTTTGTATTCAAATAAAATCCACTAGAATGTTTCACTATACTGAAAATATTGATCATGTACTTGTAGAACTGAATCGTATCACAGTAACATTTTAGATACCGGCAGATATCGAATCGCTGCATTGCAAAATCGAAATCCATACCGTATTGTGGCAAAGCTTAGGATTTGCACATCTACTCCAGGTACTCAGATTTGCTACCATGGTCCAGAGATGTGCAGTTTTGTGCTTTGTGACATCTCTGAATCAGTCAGAGTTTCTGGCTGTGTGTGTGTGTGTGTGTGTGTGTGTGTGTGTGTTAATGTGCTCTGGAATCCTGTCCAGGTTGCAGCTGGCATTGTACCCTATGCTGCCTAGGACAGACTCCAGGCCCCTCTGTGTCCCTGACAAGCAGGTGGAAGATTAGTGGATGGACTTTACTCTACTAACTTTAGTCTGTACATCCTCGCTATTGCACTCACCATTGCACTCACCAATGTACTCGCCATTGCACTATATTTTAGATTTTAGATTGTATATTTGGATTGTATATTTGTATATATAGCATTGTACTTGGTTCCTCAGAATGTATTTATATAATTGTAATTTTTCTTTTTTGCTCCTACTTTACTTCTTACCTTCTTCCTTTTATTTCTACACAGCCAAATAAGGGCGACTCAGAGATATATTTCACTGCATGTTGTACTGTATGTGACAAATAAATCTCTTGAATCTTGATATAACCAGTAAACAGACCATTCTTTTCAAAAGATTTAATTATTGGGTGTGATGGTTGTAATGTGCATACTACAGCCAACCATATGGTATAATTCTGCAGTTTTTGTCTGGAAGAGCTTACAACAGCGAATTTCAATTACAGATTACCCATGTAGCATTGCTTCAGACTGGGGTTAGCATCCAGGCATAGGTAGTCACCTGAGAGGTGCTGGTGATGGGCAGGCATATTCCCAGATCGTTGACAGTGAGCTGCAGGAAGAGGGTGCTGAAGGCCTGGGCGGAGGTCTGCTGGATGCCAGGCAGCTTGTCCACCACCTCCCTGGTGGCCACGTGGATGTCCTTGTTCAGCGCCAGTCGCTGCTCATTCCAGTTGTCGTATGCAGCCTTGTAGTTTAGCCAGAAGAGCACGGCTACGACGAGAAGAAACGAATATGGCTCTATCTTAGCAGAAGTGCTAAGCAGTGTTTGTCAACCCAGTCCTTAGGGACCCCCAGACGGTCCAGGTGTTTGCTCCCTCCCAGCTCCCTGTCAGACAGTCCACATTGCAAAGCAGTGGACTGTTTGGGGTTCCCAAGGACCAGGTTCAGAAACACTGTTTTAAAGCTCTGTAGTCACGGTTGGGATGCTTATAAGATCAAAGGCCTATGGCTAAAAGTGAACGGGTCAAGGAAGAGTAACAAGGAGTGAATGTTTAGGAATACAGCTGGGGGGCGGGGGTTTGGAAAGGGGTGGGGCTTCTGATCACTGACCTCGGTCGAATGCCACAGGCTGGGCAAACACAATCGGTCGATTTAAGGTGATGAGCACGGCCTCCTTGTCTGAGGAACAACTGATCTCCTCCTGCAGGGCATTCCGCAGGCCGATGCGTGTCCGGAAGTACGCCACCTGATGAAAGTCCGAGCCGGCTTCCTCGTACACCTGATCAGAATATTAGCAGTGCGTCAAATTCTATCAAGCATGCTCCAGACCCATGGACAGAAAATGATAGGCCTGGGAAGTTAGAACGTCCACGCCTGGAACTACCAAGTAAGAGAAACCTGACAGCAGTCAGTCAGCAAAGAGGTGACTTTAGGTATGCTTACCTGGTGCTTGATGATCTGGCCCAGCGCGAGTTTGAGGTCCACTTGGGTATGCTTACCTGGTGCTTGACGATCTGGCCCAGCGCGAGGTTGAGGTCCACCTGGCACTTCCCAAAGAGCTTGAGGTAGCTGCTACTGCCAGGTTGGGCCTTGCTCTGAATCCGGTTGGAGAGCTCCAATTCGATCAGGCCTGTCTCGAAGCGGACCGCCCGCATAGAAGGGGTGGTGGCTGTCATTTGGATCCCCTGGGAAAAGAGGAGAAATACAGGCATCCATGCATTGGCATATGGTGTCTGGTTAGACCTACTTTAAACATCAGGTTGAGTGGGTATAGGAGGACTTGGGAATACATACTTTAAACATCAGGTTGAGTGAGTATAGGAGGATCTTGGGTTTGTCGCCCTCTGTTGAGATGTCATGCTCGTTCCACAGGGGAATGGGTTGCTCTCCACCTGCCGGAAGGAATCATACAATGAACCCTCACCAGGTCACACGATTCTCTTGTTCTCATAAATCATAAAATGCTGCCCACAGCAACCACAGATCTTCACTCCAGAAAATAAACATGGCAAAACAAAAACATAAACGCAAATACGCAAATGGAAATTTTGGCCAATACTAATAACCGCATTTCTGTCTGATATTCCCGATCCGGATAACTGATGATTGTTATCTGGCTGACTTCCAAAGTACTCATGTAGTCAAACTGATGTCAGTCACTTTACTGCTTGAGATCTAGTGAATGTGATTAGAAATGACCTCATATAATGCAGGCAGTGAGACATCAGCAGAGTAGCACCAAAATGGGAGACTGCAGTGAGGTTCTAAGTGTGAAGGAACTGACAAAATCCCTTGTCCTCCACTATGAAAAATGGCTGATCGTCCAATGCAATATCTCCATTATATTGCAGTTTCGTATGTAGTGGTGTTGCTGATAACTTCAAATATTAACTAAATAACTTTGCATATTGACTAAAGTCTAAGTATCGGCCAGCAATATCGACCAAGACTGACACATTGGACCAATGGCAATGTTAAGCGATATATCATGGATCTTGGTTTGGAGTTTGGAGTAACCTGAGACTTTCTGGATGACTTCATTCACTTCCTTCATGAAGACCTTCTGCAAGAATACCAAGTGGTTGAGGAGATCGGTAGTCAGGTTGTGCTCAAATGAGCCGATCTGTAGGACAAACAGATGAATTGCATATTAGTCCATCAAACAATGAGACCAGAAGGGTTGTGCAAGAAAACAATATATGTCAATCTAATGGATCGTAAGTGAAAGGGTAAAGTGTCCTTACCTCTGCCTCACAGCGGAGATAGTTGCCCTGGAGATAATTGCCCTGCTTGGCAGGGCAATCATCAGCAGCCCAGGACTGGTCTAGATGGCTTTCCCGCTCCTCCATGATGTACTCCCCAGACATGGTGACCGGTGGCAGGGTGAGGGTGGCTGAGGAAGGGATGGTGGACATGTCCACTGGGGACACCTTGGACACAAACCTCAGTTTGTGGATTGGCAGCTCGAACGTGAACCGCGTCTGGGCGCCTAGACAAAAAGACACAACTAGGTGTATAAAATAGGTCCACGTTTTTGGGAGTCAGTGGAGCTGGACATCTCACACACACATCAGGACTACAAGGACCAATTTAGACCTCAAAATACCATCCTCAATGAAGCACCCAGGAAATGTCACAGTATATGAACACTGATCTGAGCAGAAACTTTCACCAAGCAGAGGGCTTGGTGATGGATAACTATCCATCACAATCGATTTTTGTCAAAGAACAAACACAACATCAGGAATCCACAAATTTGACATCTTAAAATTGCTGCTCTTCATGAATTCGTGACAAACTCAATACGAGAAAAAAAAAAAAGAAACATAAATAAAAATTATCCCCACAAAACCATTGCTTTGCAAACACTTTTATCCAAAGTGATGTATAATTGAGAAAGCAGGGTCAGCCAGTCCAGAACAATTGGGGTTAATGGTCTTGCTCAAGGGCCCAATGGTGACATCATTCTGCTGACCCTGGGATTTTAAATTCAATTCAATTCAATTCAATTCAATTCAATTCAATTCAATTCAATTCAATTATATTTGTATAGTGCATTTTCACAACATTGTCTCAAAGAGCTTTACGTTATCCCAAAGCCCCCAGTGAGCAAGACAGAGGCAGTAGTGACAAGGATAAACCTTGGGAGGAACCAGACCCAAAGGGGGGCCCATCCTATATGGGCCGGCAGAAGACATCAAAATTAACAAGATGGTAAAATCCTTATTAGCCCAAATTTTATTGTGGTCAAATTCATTTCTAATTTGAACCGGCGACCTTCCCATCACAGGCACAGTGTTCTGAGCCGCTGAGCCATGCCCAGCTCAGGAAGTCACGGCCAGCGGAGGGCACGCACCGGTCATGCCATGGCTCTTCATGCGGCCCATCTTGTACTCGGCCTTGAGCGAGGGCAGCAGTGCCGCCCCGATGCTGATGCCGTCCAGCAGGGCGCTGAATTTCAGTACTATGGGCTTCTTCTCCAGCCCCTCGGGCAGTTGGGGGAACTCGTTGGCCTCCACCGGCGTCTGGTTCATGCTGGACGACGTCCGGTCTGACTGCTGGGGGGTGGACGTGTCCTCCCGGTTGGGCGGCGGCCTTGTGGGGGGGTGGGGGCATGGAATAGGGCAGTGATGTCAACGCGCAGGACTTGCTTTTAAGTAACACATCACAATGTCTACACCTCAGCAAAT